CTTCTTGCGGTCAATTTGCCATCTAGAAATTATTTGTAATTATGTTCCGGCCTCAAGAAAAAATTGGCCTGCGGCTGAATCTAGTTGATGATCCCTGTGTTACAGTATGTTTATACCTGAGACCAGATTGGGGAACCCACCCCCTCCTATAGCTGGCCCCACAGCGATAGTGCTCACCAGCCACACTTATAGCTGGCCCCACAGTAATAGTGCTCACCACCCCTTCTTATAGCTGGCCCCACAGTGATATTGCTCACCACCCCTTCTTATAGCTGGCCCCACAGTGATAGTGCTCACCAATTTATAGCTGGCCCCACAGTGATAGTGCTCACCACCCCCTCTTATAGCTGGCCCCACAGTGAGTGTTCACCACCCCCTCTTATAGCTGGCCCACAGTGATAGTGCTCACCACCCCCTCTTATAGCTGGCCCCACAGTGAGTGCTCACCACCCCCTCTTATAGCTGGCCCACAGTGATAGTGCTCACCACCCCCTCTTACAGCTGGCCCACAATGATAGTGCTCACAACCCCCTCTTACAGCTGGCCCACAGTGATTGTGCTCACCACCCCCTCTTACAGCTGGCCCACAGTGATTGTGCTCACCACCCCCTCTTACAGCTGGCCCACAGTGATAGTGCTCACCACCACCTCTTATAGCTGGCCCACAGTGATATTGCTCACCACCCCTTCTTATAGCTGGCCCCACAGTGATAGTGCTCACCAATTTATAGCTGGCCCCACAGTGAGTGCTCACCACCTACTCTTATAGCTGGCCCACAGTGATAGTGCTCACCATCCCCTCTTACAGCTGGCCCACAGTGATTGTGCTCACCACCCCCTCTTACAGCTGGCCCACAGTGATTGTGCTCACCACCTCCTCTTATAGCTGGTCCACAGTGATAGTGCTCACCACCCCCTCTTATAGCTGGCCCCACAGTGATAGTGCTCACCACCCCCTCTTATAGCTGGCCCACAGTGATAGTGCTCACCACCCCCTCTTATAGCTGGCCCACAGTGATAGTGCTCACCACCCCCTCTTACAGCTGGCCCACAGTGAAAGTGCTCACCACCCCCTCTTATAGCAGGCCCACAGTGATATTGCTCACCACCCCTTCTTATAGCTGGCCCCACAGTGATAGTGCTCACCAATTTATAGCTGGCCCCACAGTGAGTGCTCACCACCTACTCTTATAGCTGGCCCACAGTGATAGTGCTCACCATCCCCTCTTACAGCTGGCCCACAGTGATAGTGCTCACCACCCCCTCTTACAGCTGGCCCACAGTGATTGTGCTCACCACCCCCTCTTACAGCTGGCCCACAGTGAAAGTGCTCACCACCCCCTCTTATAGCTGGCCCACAGTGATATTGCTCACCACCCCTTCTTATGGCTGGCCCCACAGTGATAGTGCTCACCAATTTATAGCTGGCCCCACAGTGAGTGCTCACCACCTACTCTTATAGCTGGCCCACAGTGATAGTGCTCACCATCCCCTCTTACAGCTGGCCCACAGTGATTGTGCTCACCACCCCCTCTTACAGCTGTCCCACAGTGATTGTGCTCACCACCCCCTCTTACAGCTGGCCCACAGTGATAGTGCTCACCACCCCCTCTTATAGCTGGTCCACGGTGATAGTGCTCACCACCCCCTCTTATAGCTGGCCCCACAGTGATAGTGCTCACCACCCCCTCTTATAGCTGGCCCACAGTGATAGTGCTCACCACCCCCTCTTATAGCTGGCCCACAGTGATATTGCTCACCACCCCCTCTTACAGCTGGCCCACAGTGGTAGTGCTTACCACCCCCTCTTATAGACTGCTCTGTGGTTGTGCATAACGTCTTCTCTGCCATCCTGTCTGCAAATGCCTCTGACCATAGGATGGCCAACATGTGCCGCAGGTCCAAGCCTGCCTGTCTCCATCATGCCAATTTACAGATGTCTGTCTCAATCCCAGGGGATGAGAGATATATTCTCCTGTGGCAGCAGCTCTTCTCCTGATCTGCAACCCAACCTGGGATTACCAAATACCCTCTCATGAAAGTAGTCGCCCCCGGCAAAATGCAGCCAGCAACATTACTGGGAGTGATGTTTCAGCATTTCCTCCGCCCAATCAAAGAAAACAAAAATCATCTAAAATGGAAAATGTAACTGCTTATTTACTGTAGTCTTGTTGCACTGGGATCTGGGATGGTAGGAGCATAGGCAGTGCGAGACCTGTGTTGTGCGTATAATTCTATTTGGCAGTCCCAGAGGTTTTAACAGTGTGCTCTGATGAATGATCTTCCCTGCCAAGTTATTATTGCATTCCATAACTCTTTACAGGAGAATATTACATCTGTGAGGTTTCTTACTAAACTGCTTAATAAAATGAAAATACAGAAAACAATATCTCAATATGAACAATGAGTTGGATTTTGAGTCGTTGTCTAGGCTACGGGGTGGATTTGTCACAGCATTAGAATTTTTTCAGCTTTTCAAAAAACAACAGAACACAGCAGAAAATCTCAAACCAATAGCCTACCAGTTAGGCTAACCATTAGATGAGGGAGAAATTGTTTAACCCATATAGGCTAATTGAATCCAAGATCTAGCTCAACCTGAATATGGAAGATGGTCCATCTTCATTGGTATGACCCAACCAAACCCATTGAGCCCATTTCCAACCATCTTTAATGTTCCTGATAAGAGCTTTGTATTCTCTCATGTCAAAGAGAAGTAAAATAAATGTATACATATATTAGGTATAGGCCCCACTAGAGGAGTTTCCTGGTTGTGAGAAGGAAGCGTTGCTTCATGCATTTCCACGGTGTGAAGATTAAAGCAGGACTTTCTACACCTACATCATTTGTTCCATTATCTTGTGGGTTGACAGATGAGATCTCCTGGCAGAGAGAGGAGCTTTGAGGTGTACATGTGTGTGTGTGTGTGTGTGTGTGTGTGTGTGTGTGTGTGTGTTTGCGCGCGTGTGTGCACATGCGCTGGGCTCTCATTAGGGAGAAGCAGGCAGGGCCCTTTGATGTCCTGGAGCGCACAGAGAAATCCGTTGGGACAAGCCGGCTACTTCACTCACTGAAGCGCTGTAGATTCTGGGGAAGGAGAGAGAGATAGGGAGACGTATGTAGCACATGCCAAGGACCCGATATTACATTTCACTAAATCATTTGCGAGGGATATTTTTTTGGTATTTTTCTGAAACACACAAAAAAAGAAAATAGCAGAGCCAGAAATGGTGACTCGTGGACTATGTTAATATGTGATGTGTCACTGCTGCCGTGCCGTGCCGTGCGTAGCCCAGCGGGAAATGATTGGGTTGTGTCACCTCTTTAAGGAATACCTGGGATAGGATAAAGGAATCCTTCTACCCCCCCCCCCCCCCCCCCCCAATTGTAAAGTGGTTATCCCACTGGCTATAGGGTGAACGCACCAATTTGTGAGTCGCTCTGGCTAAGAGCGTCTGCTAAATGACGTTAATGTGCCTTTGAGCAAGGCACTTAACCCTAATTGCTCCTGTAAGTCGCTCTGGATAAGAGCGTCTGCTAAATGACTAAAATGTAAATGTAATGTCTATCAAAGGTACAGCCTATGCTCTTTCTTCATTATACTGCACTCACACTGTAATGTGGAAGTGGGATTAACCAGCTATATGCAGCTATCCTATCGCCATCCATTTCACCTCATACTCATTTGCTCGCTCCAACTCTTGTGTTGTCCAATGAAGGAATAATACAGTTTGTCTTGGTGAGAGATAATGGGGTTCTGAGCTAAACAAATGAACAAGAAAGCCAAGTGTTTCAGGATAACAGGAAGGCATTATTGCATTGATACTGATACATTAGTCTTGATCCCTAATGGAGGAGGTTGTCGATATCCTCACCCCAAGTCTCAGTCATGACAGTAGGAAGCACTCTGCTAGAGCTGTGCTGTTGTAATAAGCCCAGCATTATTATTGTGGAGGGTAATGCAATGTGGCTGTGCCACTGCTGACCAAGCTCAATAGCTATATTAATGTAATGTTAATAAAAACAAATAGTGGATCACAGACCCCTGAGAATATTATTAATGTCTCTCTCTCCTCCTACCAAATGCCTCATCAGCAGAAAACGCACATGGAGATATCAGCGGTATCATGCTCTCTCTCTCTCTCTCTCTCTCTCTCTCTCTCTCTCTCTCTCTCTCTCTCTGCTGTTGTACTCAGCTATTTAATAATGTAATCAGTGTGGAGGTGAGGAGAGGTGTAACCTGGGATTGATCACGTAAACCTGCTGTGCACACACAGATGTTGGTGTTTTGCAGAAATGGCAGACAACATGTGTTTATTTTTTTGCACGAGAGGTAAATTACCAGGTTGCCAAATTGCTTGGTGCTTTATTAACAAAGCCAGCTGTTCTCGTCCCCGCTGAGAAGCAGCGCGGCCCCAGAAAAGGGCTAGGAGATGCCCCCCAGGCTTACAAGCACGAGAACTATAGTAGGGGGCAGGAGGTTTTCTGACACAACTTACATTGTGGTGTTAATCAATTAGTGTACAACATACAGAAGAACTGCTGGTCAGCGGTGAGCTCTCTATAAACCTACACAGGTAGGGTGAGCTGCTGGCACTGTTCCCATCTTAGTAACTCCATGGCAGACATTGTAGGAAGCAGGGATGACCACCCTGTATACCAGTCTAACATCTGGCTAAGTCAGGGGTTGAGAGAGGATACTACACCTAGTTTGTAGAAGCTCTATTTAATCCTGTGATGAGGGGGGGGGGGGGGGGGGGGGGGGGGTTGTGATGTTATGTGCAAATCAGATTTCCAGTATAGGCAATACTAAATCCCACATCTTTACCTACCTCTGACAACTGTTTATTCGTTGTCTGTATGGCAAGTATGCTTGTTATATTTCTCTATGGGGATTCAATTGTGTTGACTGCATTGCCTTCCTGCATATTATATACAGTAATTTCCATATTATGGTGATTCAATGTTTTTCTTTTTCTCATCTTCCCTCTCTCGTAGGAGATTACGTTGTGCTGACAGTCTTCTTCGACTTGAGCAGAAGGATGGGTTACTTCACCATTCAGACCTACATCCCCTGCACTCTCATCGTTGTCCTCTCCTGGGTCTCCTTCTGGATCAACAAGGATGCTGTGCCTGCTAGAACATCCTTAGGTAACAACAAAGCAAGGAAAATCGTATTCATAATTCATAGATTTCAATTGAATTCAATATAAATAAACAGAGAATAAAAGATAGTGAGAATTCTGCCCTGTATTTAACCTCTTCAGGTTCACCCCAAAGCATTCATTTTCATAATCAGCCAACCTAGCCTCAACACAAACAGACATTGCAGCATAATCAGTGAAGTTCATTAGCAGTGTCATCCCTAATTAGTCTCTGCTTCTCATAACACAGGACTTGTTGTGGTCAGGACCAACCCTCAGCGACCCAGAGAGGCTTCAGTAACTAGTCCATCTTGATTATATAAGCCACATATTTTTTTATACATATCTTAATTAGACATTCATTATGCAACACAGCAGGGGAGATGCAGCCTCAGCGTGAAAATACAGGTGCCCAACTTTGCTTAGGGTAAAAGGGGGATTTTTATGCAGAATATGTGAACTTTTGAACCTGCCCTTGTCTCCGAAGGGCGGACACCTTCAGAGTATGTTCTCTTGTAGCTACATATTCTTTAGTCAACTCCTTGCCTCTCCAAGCCTCTCGACCCTGAACCCAAGCCCTCACCAGGACCATTAGACGCATTGCTGAATCAATCCAGGATACGGACATCCACTTCCAATCAGAGAAGAGCTGTTTGACCTTTAGAAACAATGTTATACCCTATTACTGTTAGAGGTTAACTTATTATTTTATTTATTGCAGGTGTCTATATCTTATTATTATTATCTTATAATCCTCATAAAATGTTAAATATTAGGACAAAATGAATTGCCTGGCAACATGTAAATGGAGTCAAATGGCTTAATTTCATGTAAATGGAGTCAAATTGTATTTGTCACATGCGCCGAATACAACAGGTGTACACCTTACAGTGAAATGCTTACTTACAAGCCCTTAACCAACAATGCAGTTTTAAGAAAAATAAGTGTTAAGTAAACAATAGATAAGTAAAAAATAAAATCAGTAAAATAACAGTAAAAATAACAGTAGCAAGGCTATATACAGGGGGTACCGGTACAGAGTCAATGTGCGGGGGCACCGGTTAGTCAAGGTAATTGAGGTAATATGTACATGTAGGTATAGTTAAAGTGACTATGCATAGGTAATAAACAGAGTAGCAGCAGCATAAAAGAAGAGGGGGTGGACAATGCAAATAGTCTGGGTAGCCATTTGATTAGCTGTTCAGGAGTCTTTTGACTTGGCGGTAGAAGCTGTTAAGAAGCCTTTTGGACCTAGACTTGGTGCTACGGTACTGCTTGCCGTGTGGTAGCAGAGAGAACAGTCTATGACTAGGGTGGCTGGAGTCTTTGACAATTTTTAGGGCCTTCCTCTGACACCGCCTGGTATAGAAATCCTGGATGGCAGGAAGCTTGGCGCCAGTGGAGTGCTGGGCCGTACGTACTATCCCCTTTAGTGCCTTGTGAACGGAGGCCAAGCAGTTGCCATACCAGGCAGTGATGCAACCAGTCAGGATGCTCTCGATGGTGCAGCTGTATAACTTTTTGAGGATCTGAGGACCCATGCCAAATATTTTCAGTCTCCTGAGGGGGTATAGGCTTTGTCGTGCCCTCTTCACGACTGTCTTGGTGTGTTTGGACCATGATAGTTTGTTGGTGATGTGGACACCAATGAACTTGAAGCTCTCAACCTGCTCCACTACAGCCCCGTCGATGAGAATGGGGGCGTGCTCAATCCTCTTTTTTTTCCTGTAGTCCACAATCATCTCCTTTGTCTTGATCACGTTGAGGGAGAGGTTGTTATCCTGGCACCACACGGCCAGGTCTCTGACCTCCTCCTCCCTCTCATCGTTGTCGGTGATCAGGCCTACCACTGTTGTGTCGTCGGCAAACTTAATGATGGTGTTGGAGTCGTGCCTGGCCATGCAGTCATGGGTGAACAAGGAGTACAGGAGGGGACTGAGCGTGCACCCCTGAAGGGCCCCTGTGTTGAGGATCAATGTGGCAGGTCTGTTGTTACCTACCCTTACCACCTGGGGGCGGCCCTTCAGGAAGTCGAGGATCCAGTTGCAGAGGGAGGTGTTTAGTCCCAGGGTCCTTAGCTTAGTGATGAGCTTTGAGGGCAGTATGGTGTTGAACACTGAGCTGTAGTCAATGAATAGCATTCTCACATAGGTGTTCTGTTGGGGCGATATACAAATTGGAGTGGGTCTAAGGTTTCTGGGATAATTGTGTTGATGTGAGCCATGACCAGCCTTTCAAAGCACTTCATGGCTACAGACATGAGTGCTACGGGTCTGTAGTCATTTAGGCAGGTTACCTTAGTGTTCTTGGGCACAGGGACTATGGTGGTCTGTTTGAAACATGTTGGTATTACAGACTCAGTCAGGGACAGGTTGAAAATGTCTTTGAAGACACTTGCCAGTTGGTCAGCGCATGCTCGGAGTACACGTCCTGGTAATCCATCTGGCCCTGCGGCCTTGTGAATGTTGACCTGTTTAAAGGTCTTACTCACATTGGCTACGGAGAGCGTGATCACACAGTCGTCCGGAACAGCTGATGCTCTCATGCATGCTTCAGTGTTGCTTGCCTCGAAGCAAGCATAGAAGTGATTTGGCTTGTCTGGTAGGCTCGTGTCACTGGGCAGCTCGCGGCTGTGCTTCCCTTTGTAGTCTATAATAGTTTGCAACACCCTGCCACATCCGACGAGCGTCAGAGACGGTGAAGTATAATTCAATCTTAGTCCTGTATTGACGCTTTGCCTGTTTGATGGTTCGTCGGAGGGCATAGCGGGATTTCTTATAAGCATCCGGGTTAGAGTCCCGTTCCTTAAAAGCGGCAGCTCTACCCTTTAGCTCAGTGCAGATGTTGCCTGTAATCCATGGCTTCTGGTTGGGGTACATACGGTCACTGTGGGGACGACATCATCGATGCACTTATTGATGAAGCCAGTGACTGATGTGGTGGTGTACTCGTCAATGCCATCGGAAGAATCCCGGAACATATTGCAGTCTGTGCTAGCAAAACAGTAATGTAGCTTAGCATCTGCGTCATCTGACCACTTCTTTATTGACCGAGTCACTAGTGCTTCCTGCTTTAGTTTTTGCTTGTAAGCAGGAATCAAGAGGATATAATTATGGTCAGATTTACCAAATGGAGGGCGTGAGAGAGCTTTGTACGCATCTCTGTGTGTGGAGTAAAGATGGTCTCTTTTTTCCTTTGGTTGCACATTTAACATGCTGTTAGAAATTAGGTAAAACGGATTTAAGTTTCTCTGCATTAAAGTCCCCGGCCACTAGGAGTGCCGCCTCTGGATGAGTGTTTTCCTGTTTGCTTATGGCCTTATACAGCTCATTGAGTGTGGTCTTAGTGCCAGCATCGGTTTGTGGTGGTAAATAGACAGCTACGAAAAATATAGATGAAAACTCTCTTGGTAAATAGTGTGGTCTACAGCTTATCATGAGATACTCTACCTCAGGTGAGCAAAACCTTGAGACTTCCTTAATATTAGATTTCGTGCACCAGCTGTTGTTTACAAATATACACAGACCGCCACCCCTTGTCTTACCGGAGGCCGTTGTTCTATCTTGCCGATGCAGCGTAAACCCCGCCAGCTGTATGTTATCCATGTCGTCATTCAGCCACGACTCGGTGAAACATAAGATATTACAGTTTTTAATGTCCCGTTGTAGGATATTCGTGATCGTAGCGTGTCAATTTTGTTATCCAATGATTGTACGTTGGCTAATAGGACTGATGGAAGAGGCAGATTACCCACTCACCGTCAGATCCTTACAAGGCACCCCGACCTACGTCCCCGATATCTCAGTCTCTTTCTCCTGCGAATGACAGGGATTTGGGCCTTGTCGGGTGTCTGAAGTAAATCCTTTGCGTCCGACTCGTTGAAGAAAAGATCTTCGTCCAGTACGAGGTGAGTAATCGCTGTCCTGATATCCAGAAGCTCTTTTCGGTCGTAAGAGACGGTGGCAGAAACATTATGTACAAAATAAGTTACAAATAACGCAAAACCCCCCACAAAATAGCACAATTGGTTAGGAGCCCGTAAAACGGCAGCCATCTCCTCTGGCGCCATTAAGTGGATAACAGGGAGTTTAATGTTGGTTAGCTAGCTCGAAGGATTAATGGCTGTGACATTATTCTTAATCCTTCAGTGCCATCCAATCAAATATGACAATCACTCCAGGCACCTCCATGTATATTGCAGCATTAATCTTGAGACATGATGATGTCTCTCGTTTTGCATGAAAAATAGATACAAATAAAAACAATATTAGCCGCAAAGCCCTCGTGATCTATTAGAGTGATTTGTTGAAGAGCTGGGGTTTGTATGCACTCACTAACTGTAAGTCGCTCTAGATAAGAGCGTCTGCTAAATGACAATGTTGTTGGCAGCTGTAGTATTACATTTGAGTCATTCTTATCCAGAGCGACTTACAGGAGCAATTAGAGTTAAGCGCCTTGCTCAAGGGCACATGAACATATTTTTCACCTAGTGGGCTCGGGGATTAGAACCAGCGACCTTTCGGTTACTGGCACAACGCTCTTAACCACTAAGCTACCTGCCGCCCCGTATTTGTGTGCTACGTTAAAGGGTTTCCCCTGGTGTGTCCCTCCACATCATCATGTCTCTAACACGATGACAAAGATCCCATGCAGTGTTAATTTCGTCAACAATAACTATGACGAAAAATATTACTCAACTTCCAATTTTTCCTGATGAAATCTAATGCTGGAAATGAGACGAGTTGCCATAAAAAAAACTATAATTGTCACAAATTAGTTTTCATTTTTAGTTGAGGAAAAGACTCATGGACATTAAATTTGACATGAAGCTGCTTTTCATCTGTATTGTCCAATCATAAGCATGCATGGCTTTGCAGAATACGGAATGCGATCCTCTCATTGGCAGAATTAATGTCTTTCAGTTGCCGGTCTGATTGAGCTGATCTGCCAGGACACTCAACTAGAAACAATCATGTTTACTCTTTCTTACTTTCATGTAGGTTATTTTTGCTCTATTTTCCCATGTGCACTGTTCATCTGTGTTGCCACTCCTGCGGTCAGCAAATGTGAGTGCAGTTGATTTTTTCGGATTTGAAATATTAATTTGCTGAATATTAGGAGAACATGAATAATTCTTTTGGTAAGGCATGGTATGGCTGAACTTAAAAGAAGAGATACACTACATGACCAAAAGTATGTGGACACCTGCTTGTCGAACATCTCATTCTAAAATCATGGGCATTAATATGGAGTTGGTCCCCCCTTTGCTGCTATAACAGCCTCCACTCTTCTAGGAACGCTTTCCACTAGATGTTGGAACATTGCTGCGGGGACTTGCTTCCATTCAGCCACAAGAGCATTAGTGAGGTCGGGCACTGATGTTGGGCGATTAGGCCTGGCTCGCAGTCGGCGTTCCAATTAATTCCAAAGGTGTTCGATGGGGTTGAAGTCAGGGCTCTGTGCAGGCCAGTCAAGTTTTTCCACACCGATCTCGAACAAACCATTTCTGTATGGACCTTGCTTTGTGCATGGGGGCATTGTCATGCTAAAACAGTAAAGGGCCTTCCCCAAACTGTTGCCACAAAGTTGGAAGCACAGAATCGTCTACAATGTCATTGTATGCTGTAGCGTTAAGATTTCCCTTCACTGGAACTAAGGGGCCAAGCCCAAACCATGAAAAACAGCCCCAGACCATTATTCCTCCTCCACCAAACTTTACAGTTGGCACTATGCATTGGGGAAGGTAGTGTTCTCCTGGCATCCGCCAAACCCAGACTTGTCCGTTGGACTGCCAGATGGTGAAGTGTTATTCATCACTCCAGAGAACGCGTTTCCAGTGTTCCATAGTCCAATGGTGGAGAGCTTTACACCACTCCAGCCGACGCTTGGCATTGCGCATGGTGATCTTAAGCTTGTGTGCGGCTGCTCGGCCATGGAAACCCATTTCATGAAGCTCCCGACGAACAGTTCTTGTGCTGACGCTGCTTCCAGAGGCAGTTTGGAACTCGGTAGTGAGTATTGCAACCGAGGACAGACGATTTTTACGCGCTACCCGCTTCAGCACTCGGCGGTCCCGTTCTGTGAGCTTGTGTGGCCTACCACTTCGCAGCTGAGCCGTTGTTGCTCCTAGACGTTTCCACTTCACAATAACAGCACTTACAGTTGACCGGGGCAGCTATAGCAGGGCGGAAATTTAACGAACTGACTTATTGGAAAAGTGGCTTCCTATGACGGTGCCACGTTGAAAGTAACTGAGCTCTTCAGTAAGGCCATTCTACTGCCAATGTTTGTCTATGGAGATTGCATAGCTGTGTGCTCGATTTTATACACCTGTCAGCAATGGGTGTGGCTGAAACAGCTGAATCCACTAATTTGAAGGGGTGTCCTTCAAGTGCGGATCAAGGGACCACAACAGTTGGTTGCTATGCCGTCCATTATGGGGAAACTGTACGTCATAATGTGTCAATGTTTGCAATAAAATACTCAGCATTTCATAATCCTTTAGTTTCATGTAATCCAGTACTCAAATGCTCCGCCTTGATTTCTAATCACTATACTTAATGATACCGTTTCCTCGGGTTCCTTTCATTTATTGGAGAAGTATTATAGATAATATACTGTAAATGTTAGTTATGTTACATGACCAGAGAAAACAATTTGGTATAACCCAGCTCACACACGTTTTTGCCTGCATAAAGTATGTAATTCATTTAAAACCCATAAGAATCAAATAGCAAGCTCTCTTCAAAATAGATGTGCGCAGCATGCTAAAATAGTTCAACCATCCCCACTGTGTATCATACATATTTAATTTTGTTCAACCAGTCTGTGATTGCTCCATTCTAATAATCTCTGAGAATACATTTTTGTACAGAAAGTTTCTTTTGAGTTTTGGTCAGTTTTTTCTCACATCTCTGAGACCAGGGAAGTCAATTAAAGATATATATATATATATATATATATATATATATATATATATATATATATATATATATATTCTGAACCACTTTCACAACTCTATTTTGTTAGTCTCCTACATATCTAACATTTTTGATTGCCTCCACTGCACCAACTCCCCAAGTCCTAAAATCAAACCCCCCTAAGAATGGCATACTGTTATCTTTTGTTGCTATACCCATTCTATACCCTCGTCTGACCTTCTTGGCCATCTGGTCCATTGACAGGCATCACCACTGTGCTGACCATGACTACGCTGAGTACCATAGCCAGGAAGTCGCTGCCTAAGGTGTCCTACGTGACGGCCATGGACCTCTTTGTGTCCGTATGCTTCATCTTCGTCTTTGCCGCGCTGATAGAATACGGAACACTGCACTACTTTGTAAGCAACAGGAAGCCAAGCACAAAAAAGGACAAGAAGAAGAAAAACCCGGTGAGTCGTTTATCCTAAACAAAGTGGGCACACAATGACTCTACTCAAGTAGTGAAGACAACATAGTCCAAATAACTGAGACAAATTTCAGACACATTTTGAGCTTAGTGTGTTTGCAATGAGTTTTGACCTTACCTATGAGAATGTGTATATATTAGGAAGAGGCCAGGTCAGGGGGTGGGGATTACAACATTCTCCAAACACTGAGTTATTTCCAGTCTCTGAAAGCCTCACCAATCACTGTATTACTGTGTTGCTGTAATGCATAGCCTACTACTACTAGGTTCCCTTAAGGGAGCAGTCATTGTGAGGCCACCTCGTGCCATGCAGTCTACGAGAGAGATAGAACCTGTCCTTAATCCATACCACAGCTGTGCAGTAGTATTTTAAAACCTTGTCACATGACCAGAAGATGTCGGGGCTTCAAATCCCCACAATGTCATGGTGGCTAAAGTGAAAGCACCAGAGTTAGCTAGCTAGGTACTTAACAGGCTGTGGAATGCTCCAGTTTCAGCTTCTCTGTAAGAAAGATTTGCTTTTGGATATAAATGTGTGCAGGGTGAATGAGTAATGATGATCTGGAGGTGTAATGCCAGTTTGCTTTCTCTAAGGGGATGTTCTCAATGAGGTTCTGCACATGGTCTGCCAAGATGTGATGTGGAAGCCTTTGACTGAGATCCTTTTGGTCTTCATGAATAAAAAAGGAAATTGAGGAAATAACATCCTTTCATTTCTCATAGGTTTTGGGTGTAAGGGTCTAACCATTTTCTGAAAATTAACAAATTAATAAGTAAATAATTATGTCCTATTTCAATGTTATGATGGTAATTGTTCCAATAATTGTATTATGCATGAAGACAACAACAGTTTATTTATAATAAATCTGTTAAATTTAATGCATACTGGAACTGATGAGGTATTCCATTAGGACTAATTGTTTGATAAACAGGAAATAAAATCAGTAAAAAAGCATTTTTGATGATACAGTAGATTCAGAGTATAAAGTACTACAAATCCACATTCAATGTGTTTTTCAGATAAAAATGCAATTTTCTTGTCTTGGTGTAACGGGTCAGCTTTGAGCCCTACTAGGATCAATATCACCCCTAAATCGTTGATGTCAAGTTTGTATCATGGATATAGCACATCTCTAAAGGTAGAATTGACTGGGGATCAACCTGGTCTCCAGTGTGATGTATCCAGTCATGCATCTTCCTCTTCCTGTATGTGTGTCTCTACAGTATGTTGTTCCCTTCGTACTACTACAGTGTTATTTTCTTTAGACATTCTCTCTGTTTGTCTTTTTACTTTTGTTCTTTTTTGTGTTGTTCTCTTTTAATTCCACGTATTCTTTGTTTCCTGTTGGGACAAAAGCTCCTCCGGCTCTTTTCCTCAAAGGTATATTGCCTGTGTCTGAGTTTCATCAATTGACTGCATGTGTCTGCTGCATTTTGCCTGTCTCTGGACCCAGCTAGTGTACCTCACTGCTACATGTCTGTTTTAGAGACCTTTTCTTTATCTTCACCTCAGAATGTCTTCCGCAATACCACCAAACAATGTGCTCACTGTGCAGAGGCAGCCAGACGTACTTGTGTAGTGACAACATTCTGCTCTCTCATATAACCAGCCCACACATGTCCACAGCTAGTAAAAAGATGGCGCAAAATGGTTTCATTCTGTCATTTATTTTATTTTATTTTTTATACTGTGCCATTTTAACAGTAAAGCAGTGGCAACTCTATTTCCCCTGTCAAGCTAAGCTACCCGTGTGTTTGTGGGGCTTTTAACCTGACGCTTCCTATAGAATCAGCAGAGCCTTAATAGACTGAAATAGACAACCCCTACACTGTGTTAAGCCTAATTAGTAGTGATCATCTTAATGGCTCAACACGCAGCAGAGTAGATTTAGCCCCAGTAATCTTTAAACAGTCACAGTGCACAGGGTGCTACTGAAGAGCTACAGGTAACTGCCAAAATAATGGAAACACCTGAGTAAATGAGGTATACAAAGTATATTGAAAGCAGGTGCTTCCACACAGGTGTGGTTCCTGAGTAAATTAAGCAATTAACATCCTATCATGCTTAGGGTCATGTATAAAATGCTAGGCCATGCTGCTACCATGACTATGCCCCCATAGGATGACAATGCCCCCATCCATAGGGCACGAGAGGTCACTGAATGTTTTGATGAGCATGAAAACGATGTAAACCATATGCCATGGCTGTCTCAGTCACCAGATCTCAACCCAATTGAACACTAACAGGGAGATTCAGGAGCGGCGCCTGAGACAGCGTTTTCCACCACCATCAACCAAATAATGAAATTTCTCATGGAAGAATGGTGTGAATCCCTCCAATAGAGTTCAAGACACTTGTAAAGTCTATGCCAAGGTGCATTGAAGCTGTTCTGGCTTGTGGTGGCCCAACACCCTAGGAAGACACTTCATGTAGGTTTTTCCTTTATTTTGGCAGTTACCTGTATATTTAACACTCAAGTATAATAATAATAATATGCCATTTAGCAGACACATTTTTCCAAAGCAACTTACAGTCATGCGTGCATACATTTTTTGTGTATGGGTGGTCCCGGGGATCGAACCCACTACCCTGGCGTTACAAGCGCCGTGCTCTACCAGCTGAGCTACAGAATAAAGAATACAGTGTGCTTTAAAAAACTGAATCACCCTGAATCTATTGTATGGAAGTAGAACATTTCTGAATGTAAATACCATTAGTCAGAGGATACTGTAAGTATGGTAAACATTTGAACCAGCCATTTATAGGGAGGCCATTTTCTATAGCTATTTTAAATTAACAAATAATCAACTAAAAATTAACTACAGCTGACACTAAGCTTTGATTATAGTGGTAGGGATCCAGAGTAGGAGCCTAAGGGCTCTATTCAATCTGTAAAACGGAACTTCCGCGATGCGGATTGAATAGAGCCCTAAGTGTTTCAGTCAGTTATTAATTTTGAGAGGTTGTCTACTTCATCTGGTTAAAGCTGGAATGCCACTCTTTTGTTTTGCAAACTCCAGCCACACTGCAGGATCTGGGTTTGTTATTCTGCTTGAGCTAGCTTCCACCACATGCTTCCTTCTCCCGTGCAACCCCCCTTTGAAAACCGAGTCACATGACCTGATGCTGCTTCCTGCTGCAAATCTAGGTTGAAGATAAAAGGTTAAGACAATGTAAATAATTCCATGTGGAAGCGTTGAAAAGTAAACAAATTAATTGGACCAGCGCCGTTGCTGATTCTACAGGATTAATGAGCGACAGTGACTGGAAGCAAATGTTAGCAGTACAAAAAGTTTCCCATCAAAGTGAGAAATTATCACAATCGTAGTGAATTTTAGCTAACTACTCACCAAACACATAGCATAACTGTTTTAATGTCATTCTATTCGTAAAGGAAATATATATCTACAGCCACTTTATTACTTGATTTCTCGACCATTGGTCACATTTTCACTGCTAATCCTGTAGAATCAGCCACAGCGCTGGTCCAATTAATGTGTTTATTTTCGAACGTGCCACATGGAATTATTAGGTTGTATTAACTTGTATATTTTCGACCTAGCTGCAAATCCCCTGGTTGTCAATCAATCAGAAAATAATGTGGAACCAACCAATCATGCTTTACATGTGGTTATGCATAATTTTCAAAGGGACTACACACATCCTTGTATTCTAGTGCTGGGCAAATTTGAGCTGCAGGGAAGGAGCTACAGTCAAATCAGTGTTTTGATATTTTATGATGATACATGCCTTTAAACAATTTAACCCCAATGCTTATGGCATTTGATGGTACTTGACACACATATGATTCATTTTATAAGGACAGGACATTAGGAAAGCAGTATGATTACCTAAACATAGCACTGACATGACATCCATTGTAAATATAGCTACAATAAAGCCTAATGAAGAGGAAAAAAACTTCCCAAAGAGGCTAAAGGCTAGGGGATAGGGGCTAGAGATTAGGGGCTAGGGGTTAGAGGCTAGGGGTTAGGGGTTAGAGACTAGGGGTTACAGGCTAGGAGTTAGAGGCTAGAGGCTTTGGGTTCTGTTCAGTTAGTAGCGATTCCATTCAGTTTATTTGAAGTGGGACAATACAATACTGTATGTAACTGCGTCATTATATTTCTAAATGAATCATACACAAAATATTATGCTGGGTCAGCAAAAACTCAGTCTTAAAGTTAATCACGAGAGAAGACATTTGTGCAAAGGTGGCTTGCCATTATGAGATAAAAGCCCATGAAAATGCTAATTGTGCCTCCTTTGACTGATGGAGCAAAGGACTCGCTGATGTCACTGGCCTATTTTAGGAATCGTCAGAAATGAAAGGCTGTGCCCTCAAGTCGTGAGCAGGCTTTAAAAGAGGTTGATTTAACCCATTTAGGGACAGGAAATGGAGGAACAGTGAGTCCCTGCTCAAGAGTCTTTCTTATCATACGGCTTACATCATAATCCATTTAGAATAAATTCAAATGTTCCCCCTGTGAAATCCATACAATGGCATCCACATACAGAACAAGAATTATGTAATTTGAGTGAATCATTATGCAAAAAGGGACTGTGTTTATCTTTGGGACTAATGATAACCATGATACTCCTCGTGTTTTCCCATGATGTGCAGCAGCAGAGCTTAAAATAGGTTGCCCAGCACTAGCATCATCTTTCTACTAAATAAAGCCCAACTACACAATGTATCCTACAGAAGACAGATACTTTGTACTTTTGGCTTTACCCACAGTTGTAATTTGCATCGTGTGTTCCAATTGGAATAGTCCATTGTCAGCTTTAAGCCACTCTAATTAAATACAGGTACCACTGATGGGCTTATTTGTGTTTTACTGAAATGCTTAAAAATATTAAATTTCCAAGTGAAGGTGCAAATTACATTTTGTGTACTAAGATAGAGACTAAATTAGGTCCCCCATGTTTCGCCTCTTAGACTCTAGTCGCTAACTGTGCTCTCTCTGTTAAAAGCAGACCCCTACGGTGGACATACGGCCTCGCTCAGCCACCGCCATCCAGATGAACAACGCCACCCACATGCAGGAGCGAGATGAGGAGTATGGCTACGAGTGCCTGGACGGCAAGGACTGCACCAGCTTCTTCTGCTGTTTCGAGGACTGCCGCTCCGGGGCCTGGCGGCATGGGCGGTTGCACATCCGTGTCGCCAAGATAGACTCGTACGCTCGCATCGGTTTCCCCACCGCTTTCGGTCTCTTTAACCTTGTTTACTGGATCTCCTATCTCTATCTCTAGATCCAGCGTGTAGCCAGACTTATAATATACGTTCTGCTCCAACGAGACCATTTTTAAGAAGGGACCCACTGAAATGTTTTCCTTTTATTTTTATTTCTGTTTGATTTCATTGTTTGTTTATTAGTATTTTTTTTTTAAGCAAAAGTTGTAGCAGACCCAATAGGCATGCAGGGATCTGGAGTCCAATAGTGGAACTACGACTGTGCTTTGGGTAAGCAAGAACCTAAGCTCACCGTAGTGATTCTGCATGACTACGTTTCCCAGATTCCCCTTGGTCAGGTATTGGTTTATGTAGAAGTTATACACTGTCAGGGCCGCTTCAATGTTTTATGTGTATCTGCCCTTAGTCAGCATACATAGATCACAGTAAAACTTTTCATGGTAAACATACTTCATTCAAACTGAAAAAGGCAGTTTCCAGTTTTTTTGTATTAACAAGTCACGCATGTGCTACAGAAGACAAATGTCAGATTTGACATCAGCTTATTTTCCCATGTTTTTTTTATTGCTGTAGTCATCAGTCCAAAATACAAAATAAGCTAAATCTAAAGCACTTTAATAGTTATATAGGTTGAACAGTAAGTATGATTTTACATTTTACTTTGATGTTTCGTTCAGCTAACTGTTAAACATTACTTTAGCAGTGTTAAACATTGCTTTAGCAGTGTTAAACATTGTTTTAGCAGTGTTAAACATTACTTTAGCACTGTTAAACATTACTTTTCTTCATGTGTGGTCAGAGCGCTAGAAAAGACTGTTTATGGTCGACTGTACAGACACTGTGTATATATATATTATTATGTAGTGGTTTACATTTATTGCATGCACCTTTCAGGCCAAAATTCAACACGTTTTAAGGTCTTCTATTGTTGGCTATGGATGCAAAAAAAGAACACGGCTTATTATTAATCTGGATTTCGTCTTACTTTTTTTATAGAAAAAGTAGAAAATAAGACAAAAATACTTTCAGATGTTGTCTTCTAAGTTGACGTTCATCTCCACCAATATGTATTACAACAGAATCAATCCAGACCGTACAGGCAAAACATTGTTATATCAACTTGTATGAACTTGTAGTGTTCTGAGGACCTAATCTTCCTTTTCAAACACTTTGCTATTGCTGGCAATCTTCTTCAATGGACACAGGTGTGGCTGTGCTGGCTCCTATGGGAAGTGTGTAGATAAGAAATAGGCATCAAAAACAGACTCATGGTTTTCTTACATTAAAAAAATGTTCTGCTCCTTTCTTTCCCCGACAACCACTTAGTGGATGTGAGTATCACACAAACACAGCAAGCAGTGTTTTACTTCATTCGTCTGGCACGTTGAGTGTCTACACGGGAAGCGGCTGTAGTTCTGAATGCCTACACCCATCAAAATGCCCAAACTCTCAGTGACAGAAAACACACTCCCATTTGTCATAAGACTGCATTGCTTAGTCACTGCATTAAAACAGATCCATCTGTCTCAATGGGTGGTTTAGGGGGACTTAAGGCAAAAACAAACAATTTAACTGGAGGAATATTGCTGAACTTGACAGCTCTGTGAAGAAGAAAGCATCTGCTTGTGACCAGACCAGATGCATAAGCCTTACTCTCTTTGAAGAGACACACTGTGGAAATTACAATGATCTGACGCTGAAAACGTATTGAAAGATCTGGGAGAAGTTCAGGATATTATTATTATTATTATTTTTATTATTTTTTGGTGTTTATAATGCATCATTAAATCATTGTGTCAATACAACATTACCCATTTATAGTGTAGCACATTGTGAAAGTCAACATAAGTACTCAAACTGCTTTGAGTGCTTATGTGCTTCACATCATACGGTAACAGAAGTCTTACAATGCGACTTGAGGGATATTTATATATCCCAAATCATATCCAACCTGTTCCAAACAAGTACCTTAGCTAAAGGCAGCCAGAGGATGTTAAAGAGCAGTGCTTGAATCAAAATGAATAAGTCATTATGCATATTGTAAATCACATGATATTATGTACATAGTAGATCACAAAAGGAAACCAACACATATCAAACCCTTACATTTTTGAATGGGGCACTTATTGGTTTGTTGTCTTTCCTTCATTCAACCCCTTTCATTTATATCATTATTATCATTATATTATGCTTGACCCTGTGGGATTTGTGGGGTATTTTTCAAGGAAATTGTATTTCCATATTTAGATGGCCCTTAACGAAACAGAGATGGAGAATGTCATTTGTCAACAATGAGACACACTTTCGTTCTATGTAGAAATGAATTTATTGTGTTGTAGTTGTATTATTTTCTATGTTGTGGTCTACATATGCTTTAAAGACCAGTTATAGTATGTTCATTGAATAGTATGGCTAAAAAGGTAGGTGGCAAAGTTACTTATTAACCAGCCTCAATTGAAAATATATTTTCAGACATTTTACTGTGATGTTAGCTACTTTCTGAGGGACTGAACAGATGTGCTACTCTAGAGTTTCTGTATTAAATTGTGAGGTTTCGTAACGACTATACATTTAAGTCATTTAGCAGACGCTCTTATCCAGAGCAACTTACAGTTAGTGAGTGCATACATTTTCATACTGGCCCCCCGTGGGAAACGAACCCACAACCTTGGCGTTGTAAGCGCCATGCTCTACCAATTGAGCTACACGGCAATACTACCAATAGTTAGTTGAATTAATTGGAAACTGAAACACTTTCATTCACTAGTGGTCCTATATATTGTACCTGTTGCGAAGCTATCACTCAGTACCAGGTTGTGTCTTAAGCGTGTATTTTTAAAAAATTCACTTCTTGAACAGAAAATAATGGATTTTTTGGCCACTTGATAGTTTACTTAAAGGTCCAATGCAGCCTTTTATTTTCATTCTCAATTTCAAATCATTTCTGGGGAACAATTAAGTACCTTACTGTGATAGTTTTTTTAAAAATTAACAAAAATAGCTTCTTGGCGAAGAGCAATTTCTCAAGCAAGAATTTTGCTAGAACTTTATGGGAGTTGTCTGAAAACTAGCTGTGATTGGCAGAGAAGTTTGGAACTCTCTTATTTACATTTTAGTCAATGCTCTTATCCAGAGCAACTTACAGGAGCAATTAGAGTTAATTGCCTTGCTCAAGGGCACATCAACAGATTTTTCACTTAGTCAGCTCAGGGATTCAAACCAGCAAGCTTTTGGTTGCTGGCACAATGCTCTTAACTGCTAGGCTACCTGATGTCACCAGGCAGGCCAAAACTGAAATTTCAGGTGGTCTTTTCAAACAGCTCTTACACTAAAAGGGCATTATCATAATTGTCTCAATTTCACAGTAGTATTCCAACCTCATAGTCTGGAAATATATATTTTTTTAAAATATATAAAACACAGGAAAAGCACGTTTTAGGCTGCATTGGGCCTTTAACATGTAGTGTTTACTTCATTTAAAATGTAGAGGAATGGAAGGTTATGGAAGAACAACTTCAAGTGCCAAACTTTGACACAAATGTGATATATCCTTTCAGAAACCCATAGTATTCAATGATCTCTAAATCGAAATGAACTGTTTTGCTGCACTGGAGTTTATGGAAATAATGTGTGAACGAGAGAAACGCGTTTTGTGTTCTTAGAGAAAATATATTTAAATATAATTATTTATTTAAAATAATAATTTACTATTAACACATACAGCATGAAAATATGAAAACAAATTGACATTTATTTGCATATCTTTAACATTATCTCATGGTCTATTGCATATGATCATATATCAAGGCACAAGGACTAAACCGTGAGTTAACTTTATCTAAATGTCTCCGTCTTTGAGACACACTTTAATTAATTCAAGTATCACCTAAGAAAAAAAAGAATGAGATAGCATACGGCATCATGTTTTGTTTGTTTATAAGAAAGACTGAGTGCAGTCAGAAAGTAGAGATGTTTTAAACTGAGGAAGTAGTTCCTGAGGTATCAAGCCAGAGTGGAAGAACTGAATAGGGTTTATAAATACCCAAGACCGACCAGTCATTCGAGCTTGAGAGGTCATGTTATTGAACGGTCCTGGCATACAAAATCTGATTATTTATATCAACTATTTAAATGTTACTTTACTATAACCACAAAAACATGATATTGTATTTTTGTGATTTCTTTATTTTCTTGTGCTAGTTTACAGTATGCTACATACAGTTGTATAAACTGTTGAAGGTTTTGGAAGTCTGCTGGTACTCAGAAAGATATATAATAAAATATACATTATGTGCATAAGATATATAGGTCAATCACAAAGATGAATATATTTGACATTTAAGTAATTAGCCTTGGCTCCATCTATTCGACCATCACATTTATGTTAGATGAAGACTGAGCATTCAAAGATCACGGAAGAAAATAGTTGTTTTATTTTGGGCAAACTACAAATAAGACCCATGTGAAGATCACATGTAAATAATTTATATTGTTATATATTTTGTCAGACTGGGAAAAACAAATGATATACACTACCGTTCAAAAGTTTGGGGTCACTTAGAAATGTCCTTGTTTTCCATGAAAACATACATGAAATGAGTTTGAATAGGAAATATAGCAAAATGAATAGGAAATGTAGTCATTGACAAGGTTAGAAATAATGAGTTTTAATTGAAATAATAATTGTGTCCTTCAAACTTTGCTTTCGTCAAAGAATCCTCCATTTGCAGCAATTACAGCCTTGCAGACCTTTGGCATTCTAGTTGTCAATTTGTTGAGGTAATCACCCCATGCTTCCTGAAGCACCTCACACAAGTTGGATTGGCTTGATGGGCACTTCTTACGTACCATACGGTCAAGCTGCTCCCACAACAGTTCAATAGGGTTGAGATCCGGTGACTGTGCTGGCCACTCCATTACAGACAGAATACCAGCTGACTGCTTCTTCCCTAAATAGTTATTGCATAGTTTGGAGCTGTGCTTTGGGTCATTGTCCTGTTGTAGGAGGAAATTGGCTCCAATCAAGCGCTATCCACAGGGTATGGCATGGCGTTGTAAA